GTCACCACACTGCTGCCGTCAATGTTCACAGTATTAATTATGGAGTAATGAAACATCGCACCCACACCCACGTCGTGGTCATGCCAATCCAGCCAGCTGGAATGGCGGACGGTAAAAAAGCTTAGTGAATATATGGCGTGGGACACAGAGCCGCTGTTCCCCACCACGCGCAACACGCTGTGATCCGACACGCTCAATTCTTGTTGCTGACACAGCAGGCTTGTCCCGAAGAAAATTGTATTGTTGAGCAGCGCTAAAACGGAGTGGTCACTCACACTGAGAATATTCATGTACAACAGGTGTTCGTACCCATCAAAGCTGCAGTACTGCACATACAGCGAGCTGCCATGCAACAGCGTCAGCGTCCCAATCGAGTACAACCCAAGCGCACCGTACCTCAAGGAATGAGCCTTGACGTTGCTGACCAGCAGCGAGGATGTAGTCAGCACAACGTTCCTCAGTAACACAACGCTCAGCATGTTGGTCCTAGTTTCAAGCAGCTGAACCTCAAAGGCCTGCACCGCGTCAACCTCCGTGACGGCAATGTCGCAGTGCTGCGGAAGGGCAAGCGCAAACATGACAACGGAGGAACGCATCACCGTCTGGCTCACGCGGATCAGGACACCGGCTGACTCGGCCGCCGCAGCACCTCCAACAAACTGCAGCGCGGCACCCTCACGGAACGTGCATCCAGTGAGCGTGATGTTGATGGGGAGATGCAGCGGCATACGATTGAGAAAGAAAGTCAGCGCAGCACCCACGCCGCTGAATGTCACACCCGCGTAGCAGTGGTGCGTCTTCCACATGTTCAGCGTAACGTTCGTCAGTGTCTGGTTCACCACGCAGCTCGTGTCGCCGTCGACGGCTCTCTCCGGCGCGGGCGGCACAACCGTGTCGGGCACCTCGAAGGGAAGACACGACACGCCATGCCATCCGTCCTTGCAGCTGCACGAGCACGAGCTGCGGTCCACCAACTCCGTCCCGGGCATGTAGCACGCCGCGTCGTCGTTGCATGTAACACACCTGAACACCACCACACCCTCCGGAAATACACCGTCGTACAACACCTCCTCAC